ATCAAGAACGTGGTCACTGTCAACAGCGTGATGTAACTTGGGCTATCTACGAGATTTGTTTTGGAGAAACAAGGCCTCGTCAAGACTTCAAGGATGCAGACTTTGAATTTGATGACTATGGTCCTGAGGACAAGCGTGTTCCACTTACTCGAGCGAACATGCATACCATCAGAGTCTGTAATTATCATGTTGATACACACCGTGCTGTGGATGCCCACCTACTGACAGGAGAACAGACAGCATTGATGCTTTACGACTGTTTTGTCTATGAGGTGGACATCATTTCTGGTGATGCAAATAGTTTGGCCTACAGAATGTCTGGGTACAAAAGGCAGCCAATGGCTAACTACTATTACAGCACCATGCAGCATTGGATCCGCAGGTTTTCAGAAGCTCGTGTAAAAGCAGATCCTGGTATTAAAGCACCTATTCCCAGAACATTTTACAGTTCAACTTCACAGGTCCTCAAGAAGTGTGAAGTTTATTTTGATAAACTCTGGGAAGAATACTCTACTGTTGAGAAAGAAGAATACCAAGGATCACAGCTTGGCGATACATGTTTGTCTACCATTGTTGAATGGGGTCATTCAATGAGTGAAGAGGAATATGAAAATTCCACAGTGAGCACGAAGGAGTTCATCTGTAATTTTTCAGAGAACTTTGCTATGATTGATACAGAGGTTATGTGCTCAAGGCCCACTGACGAGGACAGTCATGGTCCAATGTTTATTTCACTCAGACCAGCTTCCTTTTCATCTGGAGACAGAAGACAGTATCGCATGGGAGCAACGCTTCATGAGGCGAACTTGCGGAGGAAGGAGAGACAGAAGCAGAATAGAAAGAAAGGAAGGCCGCCAACTTCTGATCAAGCAGCTTCAACGTCTGCAGCGGCATAATTCCTGAGCGAAGGCTGAAATTTAAATGATGGCTAGGAAGTGAAGAGACTTCTGGTTACAGTTGATACTTTGCTTCCAGGCTTGACTTTAAGTTGCCAGGCTGAAGTTTTAATAAATTCTGGTTTGCAATGAGGAGAAACTTTTTATCAAAGAAGATACTCCTGCATTCCAGGTTTATACGCTTTAGCATGTAGATAGGTATGGACAGTTTTACATAACTGATGATATCTATCACCACCGCTCTTATGAAGTGACCTCTAATGGACAACCAGTCATGGTTGATGATTAAGTCATTTCATGATTTGCAATTGTAGTGCAAGATTTTTTTTGTACATACATTTGCCGGTATCTCCTTCTTGTGTCTTTTTTGGTGTCAATGAAAGAAAGAGTCCTTTTGATGCAGTTTTATTTGTCTGTGGATGAAAGCGGTCGAGACCACGTCACGAGAAGATTATTCCTCGGACCGTACGCTCCTTGCATTTTGCAAGGCATTTTAATTAATTGCATTTGTGCGGTCTTGAATTTTTAGTTCTTTGTTACGCGAGTGTCGTTTGATTCTTTTATAGGTCTCTGTAGAGAAAAAGCCGCTTTCCCTTTTAGTTTGATTTAGCTCAGGCCCTAAAGAGCTAGTGAGCGCCGGTACATGGTATCTCCGCCTGCGAAAAGTACAGTCTCCAGCCGAGGTACATTATCAATTTGATTTTGTACTTGAGGTGAGTCAGCTATTGCTCCCTCACTGTATTTAGTAGCTATGAGATTACCTTCTCTGAAGTGTGAAACACACTGGATTAGGTAAGTACATGGCACCGTAGTTTTCTTTTAAGTTGTCAGAGCTAGCTGGACTGATTTAGCCTTGCAGTAGAAAAAGAGTATGCGACATACGCAATCAGCTAGAAGTGGACATGAATCTTGTGCCTGCTGAAAAGTAGAGCCTACCTGTACAGGGTTCCACTCCAACAGCTGATATAGTGTGTCCATGCTTGACTGCTTCAAGGCTCAAAGAGCAAGAGGATAAGACTCTGCGCATAAAAGACACTAGCGGTCTGCACCTCTACCGTGTACGCCCTAGTCACTCTTTCACCCCCCCCCCCGCGGTTTGACTCCCCCCTGCGCGCGGTGAGCGGGACCACCAAGCAGCTGCAGCACACCAAGCATCTGCAGCGCCCAGCAGCGGCAGCAGCGGCAGCAGCAGCAGCACCAGCAGCAGCAGCAGACCACCCAGCGGCGGCAGCAGCAGCGGCAGCAGCATACCCAACGCCGCGGCAGCAGCAGCCGCAGCAGACCACCCAGCGCCAGCAGCAGCAGCAGCAGACGACCCGGCGCCTGCAGAGCAGCAGCAGCACCAGCAGCAGCAGCACCAGCAGCAGACCACCGGAAGCCCGGCTAGCTTTCGTTCACCCCCTCTGGCCTCAAGTGTTATATACAGATATACAGCCATTGTGCATGACAGCCATGAATCTCCTGGGATGCTCGCATCGCCGCTGCCTGTTAAGTCAAAAGAATCTGATTCACTTCAGAATAATGAGTTAGTTAGTTAGTTAGTTACTAGATTTGATTGGCTGCTAGCATGGCCCCCGTGAAGCAAACCAGTATTTGCACGCCCTTTGTGCACAATCATAGCAATCACAGCCCTCTCTACGTCACTACGGGGTGCAGTGCACGATAGTGCGCGTTAGGTTTTTCAAAACTTGCATCAATGGTGACCTCCCAGGAACAGTTTGTTGAGAAGACATCTAGTCGATTTTGTGCAGATTGGTCGCCCCAAGCTACCTTGGTAGGTCAGGAGCAATAACTGCCAGCTGCTGGTGCAACAGTTAGCAGGTAGCAGCAACAGGAACAGCTACAAGCACAACACCACACACACACAAAACAGGGCATTTCAGTTCATGTCACGTTCATTTGGAAGAACCATTACGTATAGAAACTCGCTTGGCAGACTGCCCCGAGGCCGGTTCTCACACTCCCTTTACGGCACCCTTTTTGGACAGACGCCACTGGGAACAGATCTGAATGGCGGGCGATGCTGCCGGGGGGTTGAATAGAAGTCCAAACATCCGTCTTGAAAACTCCCTCGTAGATTCCAGCTGTGCAGCGTTTTCTGGTGTAAATATGTAGACTACTATGCTGGTAAGTGCTGGTGTTTTGTTGAGCATTTTGAATGGATGTTTTGGTGGGACACATAGCCCAGGTTGGTTCCTGCAGTCGCTACTGTCAATTCCCGTACCAACATCAGATGAAGGCGACAACTCCCGTTTTGCCAGTTCAATAAGCAGGGTATCATGTGCAAGGCAGTGCAAGGTATCATTTTGGCCACTCTGAATGCATGGTGTTTCAGGTGTTTCCTCCCTTGACCTCCGTTTGCTTTCCTTTCACGAGCTTTTACACCGCATGGAGGAGGGCGAACAGTTCACTCATGAACCCCAGAGGACCAAACTGTGCTGTTTCTTCTCATGAACCCAAGAGGACACAATTTCTGAAGCGCAGGACAAGGGAAAGCGAGACAAGCGCAGGGTCTTTTCATTTGGCTGGTGCGGTGCTTTTCTTTGGTCGGTCTGAGACAGCAGGTGTGTATTCACCTGCCCTGGACTCAGGTCCTCGGGGAATGGCATGTTGGGACCGGTTACGGCGATGCTTCATGGCCTGACGCAGAGCTTCCGAGTGGCCAGACGACGTGCATCGAATAGCTGGGTCTTAGGTGTTTGGGGCAGCGGAATCGCATGTTTCAGAGAGTAATGTAGTCCGTTTTTGGTTGCTCTACCTGTCCTGCTTGATACAGGGTCTATCTATACGCCAGCGCCCTGATGGCCACTCGAGTGGTGAGCGCAGCGGTGGTTTCAGTGGAGCTTCGGATTAGGTCACACGAGTCGAGTCGAGTCTTGAGTTCGGAGGACAGGAGCGGAAACCCTCATTCAGAGAGAGAGAGAGAGAGACAGAGACCCAGCCAAAGATCTCCCTTGGCAACACAGGCCCAAATTTAAAATCAGTAGGATTCCATAGTTTGGTGTGGTCAAACTCCCGTACGCACTCATTGCAGTGACCATCAGTGACCTACATGAGCTGCTCGCTCACAGGGGTGACGCAGCCGCACCACCATGTCGCACCCTGCAAATGCAGGGGTGGTTTCACTGCCAAAAAGCCTCCGGTGTTGGCTAGCATCGTAGTTTGGCCACACTAATGATGGAGTTATTGATGGTCTCAACGAACATGCCTGCATTTGACGTGTCACATCATCCGAAGATGCTTGAGGATGTTTAAATGTGACAGGGTGTCAATCGCTTTGTTGCCAGTTGAAAAGGCCAAGTCCGATGTAAGCGAGGCAATGGTTTTCCTCGTGGAGTGCTTTGCAAGTTGGTTCGGCGGCATCCTAAAGAACTTACATGATTGCTGTTCTAAAGCGTGTGTGGGTTGATGTGCTTCCACAGCGTTTGTCTTACACATCCACTAAGCCTTTAGTCGAAACCAAACCTTGCTTCGGATTTGCGAATCTTTTATGGGGAGATGTAGGCAGTTGCACCCAGCAGTTTACCACCACCCTTCCACAAGGATTGCCTTCAAGTAGGTCATTTGTTATGTTCGAGTTGGCTTCGGCTCATTGGTCCGCGCGCTTAAGTCGGAGGAGCTGACCAAAAGGGCTTGGAGCTGCTGTGGGTGGGATATATATATATATATATAGGGCAGGGTGGTTGAACTCCGCCATCACACGTTTTGCAAAATATGATTGGAGCAATTATATATATAGTTCCAGACTCCAAGTGTTACAAGGGCTGAAACCTTGCCAGAATGTGTTTATACTATATATATATACGGCTCTCAATTTCTCAATGTGGTGGTTGCTTCATGTTTCATGGCATTTGTGCATACCTGTGAGCCATACCCCAAGCGCAGTACAGCAGCACAATCAGGAGTGTTTGGCACCAGTATAGAGTTCGCTTGCCAATCCAACCATCATGAGTGCTAGTATCCGTCAAAAGCAGGTGCAGCTACACGTTGAGTCGACGGATACCCCCCGCTAGACTCTAAATCCAAGACCATGTTCCGACGTTTTAAATGGTGACACATGCATAGCGAGCAGCAAATCGCTCCGGCTCCACTCGACCATGTGAGGCGTGTCCATGCGAGCAGCGCACTTGAGCGATGCCTCTTTCCGTGAGGCGATGATGCAGAGGGCCTCTTAGGTCGCACTATTGGCCGGGTACGGACACAGTGGGGTAGTGGTTGACCAAACAGGAGTGCCCAATTGTAATTCATACACCTGTTCAAGTCAACCTACTAATCATGTTTTGCAGTTTTTCAGATTTGGGAGGCGTGATGTCCACCAAAAGTGACGGTGGCTCTCAAGATCTTATGTGGCTCAGTCATCGCCAATATCATCAATGGTCACTACAATAAAAGCTCTTGTAGAAGAATTCCCTTGATATCAGCTTTGCAAGTCTATGTGGAAGAAAGGTTTTTATTGGCTGAACATGTGGTGCCTAGGGCAGATTGTAGGTGGTTTTGTTCCGCTATAATTATGGCTGGCCTATGGGAGAACATCCCCCACTGTCGTGTGTGCAAGGGGGCTGTATACGTGGTTTTGACCCAGTCCCATCTATGCTCAATTGTCATCAACAAGCAGTTTTAATGATGCATGTTCTCTTTGGGTGGACCCTGCTTGGACAATTTGCTCATCAATCAAGGCAAATCTGGGCAGCTGCAGATTGCGGAATGCCAACATGGAGGACAGAAGGACATGAGGTGGAAAGCAAGACACACCTGCATGGAGGCCTTCGTAGCCCAAAAACAGCAAGAAGCATCAAGAAGCCTTAATTACTAATTATGCATATCTATGCATATATATATATGTGTATATATAGGTTTAAAGAAGTAATAATAATAATAGACAACATGTTGTACCAGTGTGCCAGTGAGAGCCATGGGAACCAGCCCGGACCTGTATCCCAGTGCCAGAAGGACATCAATCCGATCAACCCGACGAGTCCGGTTTTCACCCGGCCGGCAGGAAGCCGACCTGTGCTTCGGTCAGTTGAACCATGCCATCCTGGAGAATGTCCGCCTTCGACATGCCAAGCTCAGGTGGGACACGTTTGGTGCGGAGATGAGCAGAGGGGGGTCTGAAGATCCCAGAGAGAAAATGGGATGAGCACATTCAATCACCATCACTCACCCATGGCCCATGCCTAATGCGGCACGCAGCCGTGTTCGTCCTGTCAGGGAACATGACTTGAGTCCATGCGTTCGTCCTGTCAGGGGGAGCATGTTCCCAATCCCGTTCGCGCAGCGCGTCTGGAAGCCGCCGCACCGCACGAAGCCGCCGCAATCCTCGCGCCAACCGGTCGTACCGACCAGGTCGGCCTCGTTGCAGAATGCGCGCCTCAGTGGCTGCGACCTCGAGGGTGTCGACTTGGCAGGGGCGGAGCGGGGCGAACGCACGGGAATCGGGGATGGAGTGGTGGGGATCAACAAATTCTTATTAAATTCTTATTGTTACTAGTAGTAAGGCACTTGTTCCTAGTAGCTTCTTGTTACTAGTAGTAAGGCACTTGTTACTAGTAGCGTGGCACTTGTTCCTAGTGCTGCAGCTGAAGTAAGTAAGGTAGACTTAGTTTCCACACTCATTGCTGATCAAGTTTATGTTTTACATGTTCCTTAATGATGTAATTAGTACGACATATAGTTTTGTAAATATATATGTATATATGGGTATAGATATGGATCACTCACTTCAATAGATTGCCAGTCGGCACTAGCTTTTGGGATGCCCTCGGCTTGTGTATATACACAAGTTGTGCACACTGACGTACAGAATATCCACGCAAATCAATCAAGTTCCAGGTGGCTCGCCAAGGTAGCAGTAAGGTCTTTACAGGCTTCCCCACGAAACTCTTCATGTTTTCGATTTATTGGATACCTTTGACCTCTGAAGGAACCTTATTAGTTGGAAGCGGCAAAGCCCACTTCAGGTACAGCAAGATGAAAGTGTTTCCCGTTTGATTTTCCCCCCATCGGGCGAAGATCCAGAATCTTCTGGCTGAGCATGTTGAGGCCTACTCTGGTTGGTGTTCAAACGCGCGGACGTTGCACTGCCAAGAGACCTGTGTTGTGGTCCACGGGCAGTGTTTTTTGTTGGCATGGGATGGCTCGGGTGGGTGGGTGCAGATTATGATGTATATGCTCCCTCACCTGTCAATCTAGCAAACGGCACCTCGTTAATTAAATTTATATCCCGCACCAGCTTCTGCGTGTTGCCCGCAGGACCTGCAGGATGTGACTATAATCAACTGTCAGGCCCTGCGCTTGCAACTTTGCAAGGCACAGCTGGTGAAGGCGCATTGGACTTGCCTTTTGCCCGATTTCCGAGCCAAAGCTTGTGAATATTAATTTGTTTAAGGTTTGGGTGCCAATCAGTTTTTCTGTGAATGAGATCTCTTTGGATAGTGCATATTCACTTCGTACCTGTCCAACATGTATTCTTGCAACTTCGGCTTGAGTCACTTGTGTCACTTGGTCGAACCTGCCAGGCAGTCATCAAGAACTCGAACCTGCAGGGTGCAACGGGCATTGAGGCAAACCTTGAATCCTCGGAGCTGGAGTCGGTGAACCTCACAGGCGTTTCAACGAAACGGGACGGAGTCCGACTCCCCGCGTCGAAACGAGTCCGAGTGCCGTGGAGCCGTGGAGCCGTGGAGCCGCTGTTTTTGCACAGCTTTGGAGCCGTGGAAGAGCCAGCGAACGCGCATTGTTTTCTGTTTTCGTTTTTAAAGCTGCAACGTTTTTCTATATATGTTGAATTGTGGAGATTGCGGATTCTGATTGCCAGAGGTGTCGGCATAAACTCGCATGGTGAACACTACACAGAAGAAGTGCTTTGCTGCATTGCTGAGAGACCTGTTTTCGAGAGATTTACAATTTGTATGATCATTTACCCAGCAAGACTTCATTCATGCCAGGTGCAGATCTGAGCAGAAGTATTTGGAAGAATTGCAAGATGAGCAAGGCTCCATTTACATGGTGATTGACTGGGGGACAGTAGCATGTCATGTGTGTGTGTGAGCTGTTCCGGATTGTTTCAGCTATGTGTGTTGCGAGTTGCTGGCCAGTGTGCACGACCTTCGCCTGGTGGAAACAACTCACATTCTGAAGAATCCTGAATCCAGTCTCTGAAGCAGTAAGTTTGCTTCAACCAAAGACAAATGAATCCCCCACGAGAATGATCCCTGTGGTCCAAATCATGCGTCTGAATTCTTTCAAATGTTTCTATGTGTTGAAGGTTTATTGACGTGACGATCCCTTCTGTGGGGGGTGTGACATGCTGGAGGTCAGGGGAAGCCATGGAAAACACTGCTGCGGAGGTTCTTCTGAGCCGTGGGACACTGACGGGCGGCGACTGGATGTGCTCCAAGGCGGACGGCTGCGATTTTCAGGAAGCTGATCCTGGGCAGCTGGGGAATCGTCTGAGATGCGGCTGTTGAATCGTGGGAAGCGAAGTCAATTCTTCCGGGGCACCGTGGGGGATTGTTGTTTTGAGATCAGTCGTGCGGGTGAAGGACGCGATTTGGGGAGACAGAGCCAGGCTGTGACGTTACCAAGCCAATAGAATCGGTTGCGGGCTTGAGTGGCACATGCCCCATCTCTCATGCATGTAGGCAGCATGCCCGCAGCTGGCCCTGCCATCTACAAATTCTCAAGCAAGCCCACAACATTCCACCACACACTGGGTCACTAGGCTGCAACCTATGCTGCGTAAATGTCCAGATCTTCCCCTCCCACGGTCCTGTGGTTGATCTCCACCCGTCCAAGCAGCGAAGCCAAGGACTTGAAGAATAGCAACTTTCAATCTGCCACTTGGCGTTTCAGGATTGGGTTGGTGATGCTGGAAAATCTTTGCCACTTGGCGCATCTTCGCCTCCCCTGAATTGCTCACCATGTTCGCGGAGCGGTGGCCGAGGCTCTTTGCTGCGGCTGCAGCTTCGCAGCGGCGCAGCTCCACCAGGCCCAGCTGGCGAAAGCAGAGCTGCCCAACTGCGACTTCAGCGAGGTCCGTGCACCAGGCACGTGCAGAGTGGAGCATCATGTTCCCTCGAACATGTGCAGAAAGAACCAAACTCTGAAAGCTTTGACTGTCCAAGCTTTTCAGGAAGGCATGCTGGCCTCGTAAGCTTCAAGCACAGCATAGATATGATATGCGTAAATCTTATGTAACGGAGCAGTTTCAGCACTGCCTTTGGGATTCCAGAACATCGACATCGGAGTAGATCCCAGCAGATAACACAATTATCCCAGATGGTGGTGCGCTCGGCAGATCCTTCAAAGATCCTGCTAGGTCTTCGGCTGCAAGGGGCAAAGTTGAAGAAGAGCATTTTGAAGAACTTGGTGGCAGAAGGCCAGCTCTCAAGCCAAAGCCTGGATCTTGGAGTTCTGAAACCTTAAATGTGCGCGTCTAATTGCAAGTAGATGCAAGCCGGACCCGCTCAATTCCAACATGGGATGTAGTTTGAGCTGTTGTTTGTTTTTATCCCGTGATTTGTCAATGGATTTCTTCCTTCGCCGCTGATGGTGCCACCCTGCGGCTCTGCTAACATCAGGCACCATCCTGGACGAGGCTAACCTTACCGGATGCGACCTCGACGGGGCACAGCTGCCGAAGTGTAGTGCCAAGCCACTCTGCAGAAGTTTCCAAGTGTCAGGGCCTCTACACCTTCCACTTTCACCAATTTACATATTGAAATGGAAAGGGTGGAAGGGGTGGGTGGAGTTTTTCATGTGGACATGGTGGCACCCTAATTAGTGGGCATACTGCATCTTTGGGGCCTTTTGTTACTGCCATACTTGGCAGTTTTGTTTCGGTGTTTGGGCTTTTGAGCTGGTATGGCCCAGCAGCTGACAGCTGAGGAAAGCAATCTTTCAGCAAGCTTCCATGAAAAGGCTGGGCTTGCATGACTACTACTGTATATATATAATATATAACATGTTTTGAACGCACTGGAGTCCTGGAGGTATTTTGGGCCCAGTTCTTAGGGGTGTTCATGATTATTTGCATTCAACTAGTGGGGTTTCTTCATAGTGCTTTCCAGGCTTTCCATGACGTGTGGGTCCAATTTCGCAGTCAGTGGAATTCAAAAGCTTGCCTTTTCATCTTCACCATTCTTCACTCTGGCCCACATCACCCAGCTCTACAAGCCTTGCCACATTCAACGCATGCCAGGGTGCAGATGCCTGGGCTGCTGGCGCCCAAGTCCATCTGGGAAAAGGCACAATTGCCAGGTGCACAGCTCCCCGGTGCCGAGCTCCTGGACACTTTGATGGCCCACATTGGCCTCAGGTGCCAGCGCTTCCGCGCACGCGTAAGCGTGCAAGCGCTTCCGCTGGTGGGCTGGGAGAAATGTTTGTTTCAGGACTGTTGGAGTGAGATGATGTGCTGAGAGCGGCATGTTTGGAGAAGGTGTGGATCAATGAGATGAAGAGTCAATCGGTGGGATGATCTTGAGAGTTCAGAGTGTGGCACGTTTCCTACATTTCCAAACGGCACTCCAATTCTTTGGCTCATAGGTAGGGTTTCCCATGATTCATGGATTCTATAACTTGGTTCATCCACCATCAGCGACATTTCTGCTCGGTTTACGGCCAACGGCCCCAACAACTGCAGGGGTGCAGACTTGAGCTGTGCCGATCTGGCTGGGGCACAGCTGCCACATGCTGATTTGGGCGAGGTTGGAACGGGTGACATCGATGGTTGGATCTTTAGCATTTCGAAGCTGGGCCCTCAAGTCAACTCAAGTCTATTCAGTTCCAGTCGGGGGAATCTATTTTGCAGGCAATGGGATTCCATAGCTGAGGGAGTTTGATGGGGCTTTGTTTATTGATGGGAACCTGGGGTGAGTACCAGGAAGTTATCGTTAGGGGGAAAGATGCAGATTGGGCGATACCTTTTTGGTAGGCACCCACGATTCAAATAGGGCGCCTATGTACGAACCAACACAGATATATAGATGGTTTTGTCATATGATGGAGTGACCGAGCAGCCCGTACACAAGGCAAGCTCCTTCCCCACCAGTGTTCAACCAGACAGCCTGGCCCACCAGTGTGTGCATAGGCCAACGCGGAGAATGCCAACTTCACAAACGTGAACCTGCGGCATGCGAGACTTTGCGGCGTATTAAGGTTGAATAGGACTGGGTGGCAGAACTCGGAGCAGGCAGTGGATGTTTCTTATTTTTTTGGCAGTTTGTTTTGTGGAAGTTTTCCCACGGTGGTGCAGGATCTTCTAGATGATGATGATGATGATGATGGTGATGATCTCCATGGGTTTTGGCGAGCAAAGGGTCAAGATCCAACTTGCCCTTTTTGCCCGGAAAGGGGTCGCTGCATGTTGGCGTGCAATGCCAATAACGGCCCAAGAATACATAACTGGTCATCAATTGAACCAAACCCACTGGATTCGCTAGCAAGTTGGAAGTGTTTGGATGTTTTGGGGAGGCTACCATGTCCCTCGATCGACTGAGGACTTTGGATGGTACCCAGTTGGGCCGGGCCAACTTCACAGGAGCCCAGCTGCAGAACTCACATGGAGTGCCTGGGTTGTTGTCAGATGGGTGTTGAACAGCTACCACCTCCGCATTTCGGTTCCAGGAAAGACTGAAATAGAACCTGAATGACAACACGGACCCCCCAAGAGACACAAATTACCAGTGTTTTCAGGTGAGTTGGCAGGACTTGCACGACTCTTTCACCTCTCATTTGGGAGTGGTTCTCCCATTTGACTTATGTGTTGGGGTGGTTCAAACCTCTAACCAGCTTGGTTGCTTGGGTTTTTTCCGTCCCTTCCGGGGTATTGAGAGATGATAAAGCCCGTCATCCCTCTTCAGTGCTGTGATTGGTGACGTGGTTGGAGCTGTGAGATGAGTGAGGTGCAAGAGAACTTGGTGTGAAGCCACCTGTTACTGTTGGGCTGTTGGGCTGAGATTCCATGGCATTAACATATTTATATATTTCGGTGTACCGATTGTGTGCATAAAGCGCGGAGGAGGTTGTTTGTTGTGTTGTTTCTATTGTTTGATGGCATCATCTATCAGTTTATGGGGTGTTTAGGACGGGTCCACGTTTCCCTACGAGGTTGCTGGTTGTTTGAACGTGTTGCCGGTTGATGTATTTCTTCTATACACACAAGACTCAAGCTACAGTATGAATCAGCTGTTTGCACATTTGTTGCTCTTTCATTCACCAGTCTCATCACGAGCTTCCCTGTTTCGAGGCACATGTCTCCATGCCGGGCGCCTTACTGGATGGTGCCCAGCTGCAGAACGCTGCATGGCCCTCAGCCCAGCTGCAGAAGGCGCGAGGGGAAAAGCTGGTGATGCGTTTCGCCAAGATGCCTCACGCAGACCTCAGCGAGGCCTTGGGATGGGCACGGCGTGGAGATGGGAAGGACGGGATAGGATGGGTGATGGGGCATATGAGGTGAGGTTTGATCAGCCAAATCGAACGGAGATGGCAGGGGGAGATGCCAGGTGAGTTGGGGAGATGAAATGGTCTTTCTGGGTTTTGCTGAGAGGCTGAAGGTAGAATCACAAATGTGTGGGAATGATGGAGGCAGGGGTGGCTTCCTTGATTCCTGAGTGATCGCACCAGTCAACGGGATAGACCCTCAGATGGAGCTCTATGTGCTCCGGTTGGCAGGTGCTTTGATAGGGGTGTGATGACCTGGTTTCTCTTGGTGCCATCGAAGAATCTGAAGCAAGCGGAAGGCTTTCAATGACCTAGTGTTGGATTGTTTTGATATGCTTTCATCTACTTGAGTCTTTAATATATATAGATAATTATAGATATACTGTATATATACATGATGGATATCTCGAATCCCCGAATTGGAGAGAATGGTTGCCAAAGTAGGATTTGGTTCATGTTTGGGGCTCCTTCCTCGTCGAAAAAAGGTCCACGAAGGGGATCAACCGGTTCCCTTTGGGTTCCTTCCGGTCCCTTATGGTTCGGTCGGACACCCAATCTTTGGTCATCTGCAGAACCATTGAGGTTTGCTTTCGGGCATTGGAGGCCGAAGGCTGCGAGCTCACAGGCAGAGTGGAAGGGGAGGTGGCGGAGATGAAAGAGAAACACCAAAGCCACACACGAGAGACACCAGTGTTTCTAAAGCCTTCTTTTGCTGCTTGATCATGATGGGATAAAGATTGCGAAAGGTTCTCCTAGCAATCTTTCAGCCTATGTTCGGTATGTTGATGTTCTATTCTTTGCGGGTCAGCTATAGCTTTGGCAATCTTTTACGCCCCTAAATGGCCGAAGACTGGCATTCGATGGGTCCTTGCCTATCGGTCGGTCCCAATCGCGTTTGCGGGAAGGGGGTGGAACAAATTGAAAAGTCGGGTGGGAGTAGGCTGAGCCGTCAAGCAGTTGGAGTGTAGTTCACAGTGGGATGTGATCATGTTTTTCTGCGAGTTTGGGATGGGTTGACTCATGCACGACCACGACCTGGACGGTTTTGGATTGATACTGTATGGACTTCCACGGTGCACACAATCCAAAAACATCCAATAGCACATGTTCCAGCCACCCTCCAGCAGGCCGCAGCCTGTGAGTCGGCCAGGCAGCTCACTGCGAAAGGCCATCCTCTCGAGCGGCAAGTTGGTGGCCGTTAGGCGCCCAGTTCGTCCAAACAGTGCGTGCTGAGGCATATGGATTAATTTCAATAGGGAGACGGCAAAGACCGATCGGAATAAGGTACACTCCCACATGGGTCTGGGCAATGTACTGGGGAGAAGCTCCGGAAGGAGCTCTCATTCAGCTTCGAGGGTCAGTGCTGCTGGCTATGAGTTACGTTGTCGGGCACATGCGATTTGGCGGCTGGTTCTGGTGTGGTGCCACGGGTTCCAGACTGCCAAGCTGCCAGTTTTAGACCGTGCAAGAGGCTGCAGGGAAAGCCAGGATCTCATGGTCCTGAAGGGCTACGACAGGTCATGTTCCAAGAACATTCATAACATCCCTCACACACTCCACTCGATCTCCAGTTTTGTCAGACAGACTGTCGTTCATCCCAAGGCCTCCTTTGCGGGAGCGGACTTGCGAGAGGTCCAGCTACAAGGCAAGCAACTTCCGAGCCAGTGTTTTGCCATGAGAAAACTATATGGATTCTATAGATATGATTTGGGTCTGTCCTACTACCTGCGACAGTCAGTAAACAATTTATCACTATTCTTGGACAAGGCCTCTACTAACTATCATCATGCACTGTTACAGGTAATAGGATAGACCCAACATATGATAAGATACACTAAGATCCGAATGACGTTCCTGTTTGGATGCTTTTGCATTAATATTTGATATCTTTAAGAAACCCAAGCATGACAGCCTCCACTTTGATGTGTTTAAGTGTCACAACTGCTACTATACATTGTTGATTGGGATGATATGGTGACTCCCCAAATATGTGAACCTGCCAGTCAGCCAACATCGTTGACTATGGTTCAAAAGAGCCGGTTAAACATGTGATCATCACTTTTCACTGCGGGCAGGCTGAACATTACCTTAGCCAGGTTGACCACGATTGTTTGAGGGCAACAATGTCCACACTGCACCCAACACTAAACCAGACATCCTCGATGGTTTCATTTGGAATGGGCTGCACCCCTGGCATAGCTTCAAACTCAAAAGCAGGGAGCTCTTTTGTGAATTGCTGTAAGTGGTGCGAAGCGTTGCATTGGCATGGGAGTGAGGTGGCAGGGTGTGTAGGCTCATCCCATGCTACCAGAAGGACTTTGGGTGCCTGGCGACGTCAAAGTGTCGTTTCCGTCGAATCCTGCAGTAAGATCACCTCGATGACTTCTTGTGACCACTGCATAAATAATACCAGCATATAGTTACCACTATATAAGTGTCACTAGCAGAAAAGGCACCCTTTGCCAAACAAAACTGGAAAACAACAGTGACAGTGACACGGCTGTGGATGAAATCCAGGAGACCTTGGACCTACCAACGATACTCAAGATACATGGTGTTGGGGCGGGAAGTTTAGACCCATCCCCACATGTCGAAATCGCCATGGTCCGATGACCCGGCCAGATGCCAAGATGCTCCGAGCGGACTTGAGTGGAGCAAAGCTGGACGCAGCGAGACTGGGCGAACTAGGGTGGCCTTCCAAACGGCTGGTTTGTTTTCGGAGTGTCAAGTCGTCCACGTTGGGCTCAGCCAGCCAGTAGCAACATATTATATAGTCACTATAGTCATAGTGCTAATAGTGCCGAAATTGAGGAACCAACACGACCTCCGCTTGATTGTTGACTTGGGCTTTTGTAGAGGGGAGAACTTGCTACGCACTGCAAAGCTGTGGGAGCCGGACACATGTGACACCAATCAACCGCCTGAGAGTCAAAGAAAGGTCTTGTTGATAAGGTCCTGGGCCCTAGGCATTTCTGTGCTTTGGGAGGCCCATTAAGCTGTGTCAGGCTGTGTCATTGACCACCCTTCGGTACAACATGAGTTTGTGCCCAGTTTCGAGGGGAGTTTCTAAACCACCCGAGTGCATGCAGGTCCGCAGCCTCCTGCAAGTGGTGATTCACTGACGAGCCAAGGGGCCTACGGGCAGCCACCAGCTTCAGAGCTAAAAAACGGAAAACTTTAGATCCCCCGAGAGATGCAACCCCGAGAGGAGTTTGAGAGCCCTCTCGAGATTTGATTGACTGATCCAGCAGGCACCTCGCCGGACCTTCGAAGAAATATAGCCTATAGCAATTCCACTACAGGCTATATTTTTGGATTAAATTCGTTGAGCATGTTTTAACTCAACTCAACAATGGCATCTCAGTCTCTTTTTCTCCCTAAGGAGCTTGCAGGGTGTGGACTTGAGACAAAGTTCTTGCCATGGTGCCTGCTTTCGTCAAGCGCAGATGCCTCTTGGCAGGGGTTTCGTTCAGCGTGCAGCTGGGTGGAAGGGCACAGCGGTCCACCTTGCGTTGTCAAAAAGTTTTCAATATGTATTGACCGAGGAGTGGTAAGGACCTGGCATGCAGGAACGAGCAGGAACTCCTCCCAAAACATCGTTTTGGAAGCGCCGGCCCGCTGAGACCAAGCGTCAACTAGCAGACTGTATGCAAGGTGCCTTACTAGTAGTAACAAGCTACTAGTCGTACGGCACCTGGCTACTACTAGTAATGCCTTTGTTACTAGTAGCGGTGCCCTTGTTACTAGTAGCTTCTTATATCCCTTTTTAAGCTGAACTCCCGCGGTCCGCATTCGGGCGAAGTGAGTGAGTTTCGTTCCCCGCGCCTGTCAGCGTCAGGCGATCAGCGCGACTGGAGAACTCCAAGTTCAAGGGGGCCAACTTTGAAGAAGCAATGCTCAGCACCTGTGATGAAGCAGTGTGAGCGGTTGGAGAGCCAGTTGAAGTCGCAAGACTTGTCGCAAGTGGTGGGACCATCAAGAACCTCTTCCTTCACGCGGCTTCGTGAAAGGAGTGGTTAGTTGTGAAAGGGCCCGTATACTTCTTGGAGGTCCCGGTCAAGTGAGGCACTAAGCCCCATTCCGAGCCGCTTGATCTCGGAAGCCATTGGGTTCTGGCCATGGCCGTACTCAGGTGGCAGCAACTTGAGCCATACCAACCTGGCAGGCGTTCGGGGGTTGCAAGACAACACGGTGAGCAGGACAAAGGAGAGCATGTGATATTCATTGCCGCCTCTTGAGTAGGCTCAAATAGTTGTTGTATTATGCAAAAGTCTTTGCACAGGGCCCTGTTCACCGTCCTCAGTTTCAGGGCATGCCAGGGTCCAAGATACCTGTTCCGGGTGCAGATGCTTTGTGTGAGATGGTGGATGGTTCTGGATTTTTCAGGTGCCACTCGACGCTTCGGGACGCTTGGCCTGTTGGGTTTTGGCCATGGCCACAACACATGACGAGAACCGAATATGCTGCACCTGCGGACTTTCGCAGCTAGTCAACCATGAGTTAAGACCCAGAAGCTTACTTGTAACCCCCAAGGTCGCTCCTTTGAACAAGCTGAGGGAACCTGCAAGAGTATATTGAACACTAAGACTATACTTGTGTGGGTTGTGTTGCTTGGTTATTTCACCTGAGCATTGCTATGGAGAATTTGTTGTGCGTAAATTCTTTATTGCTCACAGCTTGGAAAAGGATACCCTAAGCAAAGCTGGAGGTCGGACCCATCCTGGAGCCTATTACTAGGACGGGCATCCAAACTTGCCCATTGGCAGAGGATGGAGACAGGATACTCACCAGAAGAAATGACCATCCCGACATGAATTCTTTGGAGCTTATCCCAGTCATGCTGCTTGTGAGAAGTGGAACTGCCGCCATCACACCTGCTGGAGGCCTCCAAGCTATGAAGGCTGTGCTCCTGGAAGCAGAGCTCTCTTTCGCCATAGGCTCTCCGAACCCGGGCTCCAGACTTTGTTTCTCCGAGCCTATGGCGCTTTTATACAGAGCGGGTAGGACCGTTGAGCACCGGATGGGACCCTCGAGCACTGGATCGCTCCACAGGCGCCGGCGCCAACTTCGCCGGCGGCGACCTACGGAAGCTGCGGATGATGAACGCCCAGCTGGCAGAGGTGGAGGGGTGGTGTGGGGTGAGGGGGCAAGGAGGGGTAGCTCATGGGGTAGAGCTATGATGTAACAGAGATCGAAGAGCCCAAAGCTGCTTGAAAGATCTTCTAAACCAAAACTCCAGGTGCACAGATTGGATGGAGTGTGTTTTTTCTATGGGGGTTGGGTTTTTTCTATGTCTTCCCAATTCAACTATACTAGCCCACGGATTGATCGGTCGTTTGAGGGGATGGAACATGTTCTTGTCCCCCTAACCCTAGAGGTTCCAGGCTCTCCTTGCGTCAGGCCGTTTTCGATGAGGCCAACTTGATGGAGGTCTCTGCGAGGCCATTTGTTTGCTGTAATTCAGGCAACCATGCAGGATGAATTGTGTGACATGTGTGTTGATCATGGTCATTGTTTGCATGCACCCAGCCACAAACTGAAGCCGCGTAATCGACCAAAGTAAACCATCTTAAGAAGGAGCGGGAAGAAAGAAAAACTTCACATCACCACAAATGCCAAGCATTGCCAAGCAACAAAAAGAAAGAAAAGACATGAAAAGACCTTTGAGGAATTGCGACCTCATGCGCAGCTCCATGGTGCGGGCCAAGTTGGCGCGGGCCGTTGCTTGGAGGTTGTGCGCGGTCAGTCGGCGGGCCCTGCGGAGAAAGTGTCTGAAAAGTGCTGTGCACGGCTTATATAGACCCCCAAATAGATAGAAAAGTAGATCCCCGATCCCCACTAAAAATGTATTGGAAACCGTTTCTATCTATTTGGGGACCACTATAGAGGATGATAGTGGAGAAAACCATCGTTGTCAGGGAAGCACATGCCGAGGTGACAGTCTGCGTGTCGTCACATCCCAGTCATGGATTTGAGGATCTAGAATCTTTTCAATTGTAGGGGTTACTAGGGGGTTGATTTGGATTGGGTAGTTTTGATTGAGTCGTTTCATCTCTTTTTCTTGCTTTGTGTAGTTTCTTTACAATTTTTCAGGGGATGACTTGATTTCCCAGTGTCCAAAACGATCTCGCTGAGGACTTCTCGCAATCCTCGCTGCGTCAAGCTGACTTGGCAGGCACGACTGCGGCAGTCAACCCGCATCACCTAGATGTGCCACTCACTCAAAGTGTTCAATGACTCCGTCTTTGAAATATGTTGTTGCAATTTGTGGCATATATACAATTATATACACATTGCACTCCCTGGAATGATCATGGAAGTGGATGGCACCACCTGTTTGTATATAGAGGATTTCATGATTTTCCTCCATGCTTGCTTCAGGGGGAAGAACATGGTTTCTTCTCATCGGGATTCATCGGGTCTGATTATCATCTATGTGAATCAGCCGCGGTCGAATTAAGAAGTCCAGTTCGCCACTGTGAGGTGACATAAGCGTTTTGCAGGATTTGACGGGGAAAGGGTTGTCAGTTTGGGGAAGAACCACTCTTGTCCTGGTGGTGTATTCCAGTGAGTGTCGCATCTTTGATCGGATCGACCGCAGTTCCCTGCAGGCACTGATCTGCTGCGGGTGGCGATGGAAGAGACCGACCTGGAGGAAGCCTCGCTTCGACGCACGGCATCGGTTTTGGCCTTCGCCGCCTGTATAGTAGAAATGCCAGGGTCTATGCCATGCACCTGTCGACCGCCCGAGATGGGACTTCAATGAGTGTTGTGGCAGTTCGTCGCCCCAGTAACATATGTTTGGAGATTTTGGAGCTATTTGAGGGGCTGACGCTTACCAGCGGGCCAGCAGGCCCACCAACAGAGCTTCTGTAGTGTTGTTGTTGTGGTTGTGGTTGTGGTTGTTGTCGTTGTCGTCGTTGTGGTTGTTGTTGTTGTTGTTGTTGTTGTTGTTTTGTTGTGTTGTGTTGTGTTTTGTTTTGTTTTGTTTTGTTTTGTTGTTGTCATTGTGATTGTCATTATTATTGTTGTTGTTGCTCTTTGTTTGGAAGAGGAAAAACATAATAATGCTGATATTGCAAAGCCAGTCTTGCAGCATATTTTGCACAACATTCCCTTGAAAATAGCAATGTTGATACCATGGTGGCACACCCGTTTTTATGCTGACCCATCGAACATCATATCACAAAAGTGCCTCTCTCGACGCTCTCCCCAGTGGCCTGCGAGGGTGGTCTGCATCAACTACCGAAGAAGACCCGCTCCATGTGTGTACCTGCGTGTTTCTCCTGGCTATCGTTTCCCCTTCTCAGGTCTGGCCCGGTGCCATGTCATCTTCCCAGCGTGGCAGACCAAAAGGCGTTTGACATATATTTTGTTGTTGTAGGTCTTGCACGGGTACATCAGCTCATCAGCTACCTGGCACATTACAGCACCGTGTTCTTCGGTGCCGACGAGTCGTCGCAGCCAAGGCGGCGCCGACCTCACAGATGCCACTCTCCGCTGCGCCAAGCTCTCCCGCGCTGACTTGCGGGGAGCCAAGCTGACCGAGCCGCATGGAGCACCGGTAGCAAGAAGGGGCAGCGGTTTTGCACGGTGACAGGCAACAGGTCCCGTGGATAAGGGAGGGCCAGTGCACAATTGACAAATCTTGTCCCCTGGGTGAACTCAGTGTGTACTGCGACCATGGCCCGAGAGGTGCTGTTTTCCCATAGCGAAAAAAAGAAGAAACAGATTCCTGGGAGTGGATGCATTGCATCCACCAGGTTTTACTCCGCCTGTCGACCTATGGAATTCTTTGTGGAGCGAGCAAGTTGGAGATCGCCGGAACACACACAGATGTGTTTGCCGATGGCAACCATGTTGTGGAGCATCTTTGGGGTGTGCCATACTGGCGATTTGATTGGGAACACGACCCCCAGCAACAACCGCAAAAATATCAAAACTGCACAGTGAAACCCAGAGTGGTGGATCCTTTGCAAGTAAGTTTGATGTCGTGGTCCATGCTGGTGGATTAAGATTTCCAGGTTTGTGGTTGGTAGATTGTTTGGCAGGATTTCATCAATTTCATCGGTTCAATTGATTTCCTCAACAAGCTGCCTACTGCGAGGTCAGAGCAATGGAAGAAAACAAAAACATCAACCAATTCATGACATTTATGATTTATATAACGTATTTCATCCCCTGCTCATAAGATCCACTGCTACTATCCCCAGCATCTCCCGAATCACAACGCCCTACATTAATTCCCTTCGACCAAGCCAGGAATCCTCCGGAAGGATCTGGAGCAGACCTTGATCGACCGTCTCTTCCCGGTCACCTGAGCCCGTCGCTTGCGGCGAAAGGCGGCAACGTTTTTGAGGCCGGAGTACGCCGGAGTCATATCCATTTGATCGTTGGAATCAAAACGACATGTTGCCAGAGAATTATCATACTTATCGTTGAGGAATTGAGCAAATCCATGGTATTTCAAATCATCAAAGCTTCACTTGGAGAATTGTTGCCAGCCCAAGTAGCGTGCTACAAGGTTATTGTCCCAAGTCCCTTTGGCCTCCCTACGGACAGAGACACGCATATATAGTATATATTTGGTTTTTGCCATGTAATTCTGTGAGTTTCAGTTGGTACCTGTATTTATTGTGCATGTTATCCATGATGTTCATGTCATTTTCTTGGCTGGATTGCAGGAGCCTTCGGCGCAAATGTGAATAGCCGCAACCCTGGGGGTTGACATGTTGGTCCATGCCCAAGACGGGCATGAACTATCACCCACTAAATATTATGAATGACTAGCATTTTAGTTAGTGTTGCTTTTTCACATGCAGTGATGGACGGTACCGTTTGCATACATACATCAGCTTCGTAGTTCTGCAGGTGTACTGATGATAGCCGCGTTTGTCAAACCATTGGACACCCTCATAGCGGCTCACCAATTTGTATCCCAAGATCACTTGGCACAGACAGACTCCCTGTAGCATTGTGGAGGCTAACTACGTCAGCTTGAGGTCAGGAGTTCAACTGTGACTCCTGTGTCAGAGTTCAAAGTGGCTGGCCCATTCCTCTAGCGTGGTTTCACCCAAAGCAGCAGCATCAGACGAAAGCCAGGTGAGCAGAAGCAAGGCAGCGAGCCTTGCCAGATGTATTTGCATCGTATTCTCCGCGGGCGGGGCTGGCAAGGCCACCTTTTTCACAGTTTTGCAGAAGTCTTGATCAATGGGGTGCAGTTCACTATGATGAGATTTGTACAGTAGCTTTTCAAACTAGCCTTCCAACCCCGTCCAAGAGACGCCCTGGCTGGCCCTGGCTGGCAGACTGCGGTGGACGAGCAGGAAAAAGGATTGATTGGTGAAGTTATATATATATATGTTATATATAGATACTGGTTGTTCCTGCAGGGCTGAAGGTTAAAGATTGGCAATCATTGTGGTATATTGTGACAATCCCTCCAATATGACTTATCCTTGACATATGCACTGATTCTATCCTCATCTGGGCTGTTTTTCTTTGGTGGGGGGGAGACCTCTCACATCAATTAACGTGCAGACATGCTTGACACCTTTCACATTGGTATTGCGACAAGTGGTGGTACCGTCGTGCACTATATGTATATACATACATACTGTGCCATGATCTTCTAACTGCTTGTGTGGTGAACGTACTGCCCAGAAATGTCCGACTGGTATTTAAGCCAAGAGCCTTGTTCAGAGTGCATACCCCTGCTGTAGGTTGATCCTTCAATCATTCCCGTGAGTCGGCACAAGCACATAGACCACGTGAGACCCACAACCAACTTGGCGAAAAACCGCCACAACGTTTGGCTCAAGAAAAGGACCGCACACACATCCGTGACGCTACTCCCATGGGTTATGAGCCCAAAGAACCTGTGAAGCCATGACATCCGCAGCGATGAGAAGACGGAGATCGAAAACACCGACTGCTGATGAACAGTTGGATGCGATGATAGCAGCAGCGAGGGATCAGCCTCGAAGGGCACAGAGCTTGGAGCCGAGCAGGACGATGACGCCATCCCTGAAGAGAACATCCTATGCCGCTGTGACGAACACGCCGGCAGAGAGAAGGCAGGCGGAAGAGCAAGGGGCACTACCTGCACCAGAAGATCATCGTGAACTGGGGCCTCGTGGCCCTCCGCAAGTGTTCATGCCGATGGTTCCGCCTTTGCCAACCTTCCCGCAGGTGCCTATGATGGGTGGGCTACAACAAGCTCTACCTGCACCAGCCGGTCCTGGACAAGTTGGAGGGCACGATAGTGGTGGGGGCATGCCTTCTTTGCTTCAACCGGTTCAAGAACAAGCTTGGGGGATGCTCGCAGGCTTGGAACAACCCTACCCTGGTATGTGGGGGACTGGAGGCTCTGCTGACCAACTGCCGGTGGCACCTCAAGGGCGTCGAGAAGAACTACCTGAAGGAGGTTCATCGGTGAAGGGGCCTGGGGGAGTTGATCCTCAGGAACTTAGTGGTGGTCGGGAACGAGTTCTCGAAGAGACGAAAGGTTCTGTGAAGAGCTCACCACTGAACCCCTGGTCCGCAGAGAAGTTGAGGGCACTTCATGATCAAGCTCGTCCAAGCGATCCCCGAGGACAAGGTCAACAACCTCGTGATGGCGGCGATCAAGTCGAACGTCTTCGTGAGCGATGTCTGAAGGAGGCCGAAGCGAAATTCCAAGAAGAAGTTCGCAAATTGGGGCAACAGAGCTCGAACTCGTCGTTCCAATCGGCAGTGGAAGCTCCTGGAGGCAAAGTCCAAGGTGATCGAGTTCAACCAGGTAGAGAAGCTGCTGGAGATGTGAAGACCACTGCACCCATAGTCAATGTGGGTCCCAATGGCGTAGGCGTTGGGTCGGTAGCATATCCATGGCCCTATCCTCCTGGACTACCCGGACTACCTCCATGGGGAAATGGTGTGTGTGGTATTTTTCCCAATGGAAATCCATCAAGTGCAAATGGCATGCCAGCTGAGGAATCACTGGGCGACAACGCTCGGTCGGTGGAATTGCCAGTGCTGGGCTTGGACGCCACGGCGCTGACGTTTGGTGACTGGTTGACTACACTGGAGCCCATCGTGTCAGAGATCAGCCAAGGGGCAAATCAGTGGTGGCAGTTGACCTTAAAGAATGTGGAGCAGGCCTATGAAGCGTGGCTGGTAGCAGATCCTCTGCAGCGCTTGCGTCTTGGTCCTGCACAGTCAGAAGAGGCGAACAAATGGCCTCGGACTGAAAGAAGGATGCTCAGCCTGTTACTACAAGCGGTGCCGGACACTGTGAAATCTGAGGTCATCACGGCTCGCAAAATGTCAGTTGCTCAGGTGCTGTTCATCCTCTACATAAAATTTCAACCGGGAGGACAAGGTGAAAGAATGAACCTCATCAAGAACTTGACCGAGCTCAAATTGACCCAAAACATGGGCGATGTTGTGCAGGTCCTTCGAACCTGGCGACGTTGGTGGAATCGCTCGGAGGAGTTGGGGGTGCTTCTTCCAGATCCAGTAGTCCTCGCGGGGGTGTTGGTGAAAGCTTCAGACCATTTGGCGAAGTCTGGGGCGCAGGTGGCCTATCGACTGGCGACGAGCAGGCAGCAGTTGCTGATCGACACCAGGCCTACGTTGGACAACCTCAAGATCTTCGTGGAGTTCCTACAAGCGGAGGCGGAAGAGCTAGCGATGGGATCAGGAACTGGAGTGGGACAGGGAAAGGGTCCGTCATTGAAAGCAGTGGCTACCAATCCTACTTCCGGAACTTCATCCACGTCCTGGACGAGTCCTTCGGTGGGGGAACAACGGGAGAATGTCGCCGGTGACAAAGACACCTGCAGGTTTTGGATGACCGAAAAAGGGTGTCGGCGTGGCGATCGGTGCAAGTTCAAGCACCATCGATTGAGTCCCAAGGACAACAGGTGCTTTCATTGCTCTGGCTTGAACCACAGCCGCACGGCCTGCCCGTTCTTGAAGAAGGAGGGGAAGGGAGAAGAGGCGGTCAAGGTGGCGAAGGTCAAAGGGGGAAGCAATACAAACAGCCCGGAAAAGCCGGAGCGTGCTGGAGTCTTGGAGGAGGAGGCCAATGCTTCAACTTCACCAGGGACAACGGCAACGGTTGAGGAAGCGCCTACTGGGTCGAGGTCTACGCCTGGGGGAGGTGCTCCACAAGATGAAGTGGTGAACACGGTGGGAGGCTTGGTGGGTGAGGCGACGGCGCTGTTGAAGTCACTGCATCGGGCAAACTCATGGCCGTGAAATGTAAGTCAGTTGGGGCTTCGCTATGTGGTGAAGGTGACCCTGACATCAAGGTGGGACTACTGGATGGGGGGGCAACACATCCTCTCCGGACAGGACTTCCCGATGAGTTGGAAAAGGCTGAATTGGTGCCGGTGGACTTGGCGCATGGTCGTGTGTCGCTCAAACAAGATCCGGTGACTGGTACCATTCTGGTTGAAGGGGGCATTGAGCCTATTGTTCCAGTCCGGGGCTTGATTGACCTGGGCTATAAATTACAGTGGAGCCGAAGTGGCTGTGTTGTGGTACATCCCAAAAGGGGAAAAATCTCCTCGTGGTTGCGAGATGGTTGTCCGGTGGTTGCTGAAGCGGATGCATTGGCCCTCATCGCGGACATCGAGGAGGCGGAGCGAAAAAAGGTAGAAGACCTGAATGATGAGGAGAACCTGGACGAGGACATCATGGGGTGGTGGAAAAGGCGCTTCCCTCAGGTGCCTTCCCGAGTGTTTCGCTACATGTCGGAAAGTCCGGAATCCACGACAGGCACACTACCTTGGAATCGAGGTACACGAAGGCGGCTGCAACAATCGAAGAAAATTCTGCTACACCTCTATGCGGGGGAGAAGGCGGAGGAATGGCGAAGGCTGGAACAGGATGGCTGGGAAGTGATCACCCTGGACATCACCAAGGGCAAGGATCAGGATGTTCACAATCCTGGCCTATGGGGTTTCCTGGCCAATTTGGCAAGAAAGGGGGCCATCAAGAGTGTGATTGGTGGACCACCATGCAGGACAGTGTCGAGAATGAGGTTCAAACGCCCCAGGCCCCGACCACTACGAGATCGAGGAGCTGGACGATTTGGACTACCAAACCTCAGTGCTGGGGAACAACGACTGGCGGACCATGACACGGCCCTGATCCTCAAACAAGTGGGCATCTACTACATGGCGGAGGAGGCACGCGTAAAGTATGACCTCGGCGGGTTGAAGACAGGCTTTTGGCTGGAATCTCCGGAGGATCCTGGGAAAAACAAACTGGGAAGCGTGATGCCTTCGTTTTGGAGCTGGGAAGAGATTCTCGCTTTGGAGGAGGAGGAAGG